AACTAGATCGTGACAAGTTAGAATCCTAATTATCATGTAAATTCATCCCAAACCTTTAGAATCCTACTCATGTAAATTCAACCCAAACCTTTAGAATCCTACTCATGTAAATTCATCCCAAACCTTTAGAATCCTACTCATGTAAAATCGGTCAGAAACTGTGTCCTTGCTTTAAGCATCCTTCTCCAGAGATATTTTATTGTTTCTGGAATGCACGCCGTTGTTTTTGTGTTCAAAACGGGAAGATTACTTCTCGTTCTTGTTGTATACTCTCTTCTCGAATATTTGTTGCATTTTTCTGTGTTAAATTTCAAAATATGCTTTAAATTGTTTTGCTCTACTGTTCGCATGCATCTATTCATGTTGACATGTTATTATTGGTATTGAAAACAGATTGTTCTTATTACTTGTTATATGATATGGCTGTTGATTGTATCCATTTCATGAGGACTTTCAGCTCACTTCTGTAGATCGTATTATTATTTAATAGTGATTTTTTGTTTAATCAGCGTTCAAAATTGGTTATGAGTCCATGAATGCCTCTGTGATATCATCAATGATATCATGAGTATCAGTCCTGTCTTGTTGGTTGTTTCACAGACTTGTTTGTTTCCGCACAGAGCTGGCGAGATCAGTGAAGAAATAATCTGTCTGCGTGAAGTTCTGGTGAAATGATTAATTAATCACTGAGTTGTATGGGTATCATTTATATCACAGAAAAGACGTTAGTTAACCCTGATTCATTCGTGTTTTTTAAATTGATATTTGATTAGAATCAACGCTGATCATTAACAATTAATAATTTGATTTTGTTTTGTTTTGTTTTGTTTTGTTCTTTAACGAGCTGATAAAATTTATTGCATTTTATTGACGTTTATTGATATGAGACGGTAATCGCTTTGTATCCTCATAGCACCGCCGCTGTTCAGTGGTTATCTCTTGTAATGTGAATTTTGTTTCAACTGAGGATTGAATGTATCAATTCATTTGAAGTTATCACTTGCTTTATCATTCAGTTGGACTTTAATAATAGTGATAATCTGGTGTGATTTTGAATGCATTCAGTGATTCGATTGATTGTATTTTTATCAAGATCCTGATTTATCCTGATTTATTGGTTCTCATCAATTACATGTGATCTGGGTCAGTGGCTTCTAGGCTCGGCTACTTCATTAACCTGTTCGATGATTTGACAGGTCGTCATGTCATTACCTACTCCCTCCCGCTGCAATAATTATTTCAACGTTATTTCCACGCAGCATGTCAGAAATAATTTCCCGATCCTGCACATTATTCCGCCTGACATCCTCAAATTACCCTCAAGGGTGGGTGATTTCCTCCTCTATGGCGACCCACCCCTATTTTGGGTTAAGCAGACGGTAAGAACCCGTACGACGTACGAGATACATTCAAATCGCATGTGCGGAATTTCATTGTCAAATTTTTTGTGCGATACGTTCGTAAAATTTGTATTGTTCAGAAGAGGGGAGTGACTCAAAAGGATTAATATTGTTGAGGTTGAGATTTGAAGTTTGCTTATCGAAATAAAGTTTGGATGTATGCAAAGAAGTGAGAGTGAAGAGCCGCCGAAAGACCTGAACGAACGTGAGCTGTCAGCGTTATCCAGTAACATTTCAAACTGCTTAAGTGCGATCTCGTTAAAGGTTTGTTCTAAGTGTTTTGCTATTCTCTAGAAAATGTTTCATTTTCGAATGTGACTATGGATATGTGGAATCATTTGGAACTTCAGTTTTAACTCTATATTTGCGTTTGTTGATGGTGTGAGACGATTTTGTGTTATTTATTGTCATTTCATTCATTCATTCCATCATTGTTCTGTATTATTCTCATTGAAGTTCACATCAGATTTTTCGGTTCTCTTGTTGTTGTAACATTCTTATCATTTTTTAAAATCATAAACGGCTATCAAAGATTATTGATGATGATGGTGGTCATTCATAGTGTTTGTCTTCGTTTGTAGCTTTAAACGGTTGCTTTTTTTTCGTTTCTGAATTGAAATTCACTCAAGTTCAGTGAAAAAATTCACTGAAATTGTTCGGTTGAATGCAAAATTGTTCTGTTCCCATTTGGAGTGAGACGGATGGTACGAAAAATGAATAAATGGCAAATATTCTGCTGATTTGAGTGGGTGAAAACAATCGCTCACAACAAAGCAAAATTTCAGTTGTACTCTGACGAGGCATCAACGTCGTGTGTTGAAGAGTGTGTTGTGGCCACTGAGGAGCTGCGGACATTAGGTGAAATAGTTCGAAGTGAAATCGGTGTCGCATCGGAAACGTTGACACGCATTGACGATCAGTTGACGCAGTTGTCGTCGTTATTCAGAAATATCGATCAGTTAGCTGAATTCATCGTTGAGGTATAGCTAATGAGTGGTATTTGTGCGGATTTCTCGCAATTTTAGGCGATTAAAATCGTTTAGAATCGGTTGTTTCATCGCGAATAATGATTGTTTTATAGAGTGTGAATTATGTTCAGCAATCACATCTTAATGGTTGTTTTCCGTCCAATTGATGCTGAAATTCATTGAGTGGATTGAAAATTTTTCACGTTTATCAATGGATTATCTTTCAGTCATTAGATTCTTTGATCGTTGAGTCGCAAGTATTGTTAAGGAAATTCGTGTTTTATTTTTCAATCGGGTTTTTTATTCGTTTTATTTTTGAGAAAAAAGAACAGCTGGATAAGTTAGAGGCGGAAGTGACAAAAGCGGAAAAATTGGCGAAAACAAGTTCGAAAACGTCAAACAAATGATGCAAATTGTCGATAGAAGAGGTGAGTTTGAAGTGGACTTCTTGTGTCAGTTCTTTCAAAATCATTCTTTGAAAACTCTTCTCAGCTGTTCTCCGCGATGATTTTATTCGTTATCTTTATTGTTATCGTTTGTTTGAAAGAGTTTTGAGTATTGAATCGCATGCTTGACGCTGTGTAATTTTTTGGATTTCACTTGAATTTTTGCGGTGTTTTACCATTTTTTTCCGCGAGAGACATATCGTTGTTGATGTTGTCCTTCTTTTAA